ATAGAAAACGATCTCACCAAAAATTTCCTATAGCATGCGATCACCAGAGGATCTGCTATGGAACTAAATATAGGCCAAATGGTGATTTCGCATGTGTCAGGAGGATGTGCAACATTTATTTTTTCGCGTCATTGATTGATTTTACAAAAGTATTTTGTCAGTTCAGCATATTAACCATGGTTTTCGTCATATTAATACATTTTTAGTTCAATTTCTCTTATGCATATTTAAAGTGAATAGCTCCTGTAAAATGGCCTATAATTTCTCTAAGTCTGTTAATCAACACTGTCAGTAGTAGGTGTTCAAATTATTATATTTAAAATTATTTCGCATAAGAACTTGACTATCGCGGCATGAACCGTATTATTCAACAGTAACACCGGAACTTATTCAAGTATGCGCCGCAATTCATGTGAGATTATGGTTGACGAGAAAGACGAACGTAAACGCATTTTTCCACTTCCTGCGGAATGCTTCATTCATGATTTAAAAATCCACTGAATGTGCACAATTGCGTTTTACGATTGAGGCATATCAGCATGAAAACGAGGTTTTGCGTGTTAGCGTTCAGGCACACTTCAGAATCGTACGTTGTTTTTCGTTTAGAAGCCCATCATGCGCTTTATGAGAACTCCATTTCATTATGAGCCCAAAGTGTTTGTATTCTGTGACCCTTAGCACATAATACAGATTTTGTTTACTGTCTGCACGCCGGCCTTCGCGCAACAGCGAGCGATTATCCTCGAAAACGGGAGTCGTTAATAGTCATATGTGTGTAGTAGTGACTGTCTCCTATAAATACTGGGGGTCCCTGTTTATGAATTACCCGTAGCTGCTGATGTCTCTGATGGAGGATCCGCGACGTATTTCGAACCGTCCGACGAAAAAGGCTCTTGACCCAGCGAATAATTGTTCTTCAAAAAACGTTGTTCCAATAAAATACACATGTCTGCAGTGTTTACATTGTTCAGTTAGTCAGAAAAAAAAACATTCAAAAGCCTAAACACTGTAGTTTGAAAGAGTGCTTCCGTATTAGGTATATTACGACCTTATTTATACTGCCCTTTGAAATGGAAATATATTCCATAATTTCGGTTGACATTTCCTGAGATAGGGAATCTTCATTATTTAATATTTTGCGATGGATAAGATGGGCTTAGGGTGCAACAGTAAATTGTGGATGAAATTGTTTCTTGTATCATCAATTCATTCTTCCTCGTTTGCCCTATGCTCCTGGCGTAGTAAGGTCGCGAAGATTGATGATGGGTGTGGTTGTAGTGACTGATGCAGGTACGTCCACCGTACAAACGATTTCATAAGTGAAGTGGCGCTTTTGTGAGTTATCGAAACCGCAAAAGCACTTTAGTTGGTTTTAAACGACCGCTTGCGAATGGTATATCTGCGTTTTAATTATTTATAGCAATTCGTGTTCACTTTTTGTTTCGCTTTACTGTATCTCTCATGGCAACTTTATGTGAATTGTACTGTCTGATTAACAGCTCACAATTCGCCATTAAACGTGACGGTGTATGCACTTCGCCCTAAATCGCTGGAGGTGCGCTGGAACAATCCGCCTGGTATTTCGTCATGCAGGGCAATTGCAGACCAGGGCGGATACGAAGTAGCAACTTGTAAAGGACGTGGGACGTCATCTTCACCAGATTCTTGTACCCTTAGTAACATGAAAGACTTTACAGAATATGATGTGAAGGTTGAAGTTTGTACCAAGGCTTTATCCGACGGGCGTTACAAAGACTCGTGCACAACCTCTCCAGGCAACTATAAAAAGACTCTTCCCGCAGGTACTCTCATTAGAATGCAGACTTGTCTACGTTATTTGTGAAGTTTGCAGTAATGAACATTTTTGTGAAGTAAATCATCAGTGTCCTATACAGCTTGAAGGAACACAAGTGCGAGAGATTAACAGGGAGCAATAGCCATGCCAGCCTAAAATACGAAGGATTAACGTCAGCAATGCCTTACCTAACCAACACCTATTTATTGTCAAGCTACTGAGCTTTACCAACCCTCCCCATGGCGATTGAAATCTGCCACCTCCAAAGACAAACCATCCCATCTAGGCCACATACCCAATGCGACCGTATTTTTCAAGTAGCACTTTAAACTTGGTCTCCATCGTAGTCCTGGAGGTAGCCCTTGCAAGGGAGCGTACCCGTCAACCCTGCTGACACACTACCACCATCACTCCTTTGTGAACCCTCAGTCATGTTTCTTAGTGATCTGATCGAGCATAAATGGAAATTTCGTGCGGGGTTGCGGTCAATCCTCGTCCGAAAAATTCTGGCGCTCCATACCGTTCCGGTACACATTCGGATACAGTAATGGCATCGAAAACCCGATAATTAATAGGTGGCGTAGGACCGATAGATAATACACTACTAAGGTTGTGCTCAACAACGCTCAAAAAGGATCTCCCATTACTAATGCATCCTCGAAAAAGTGAGATGTGGCAGCATTTGTTAGTGCAGATAACGAATGAGGGGTGTTTCTACATGGCTAACATTTGATTAACGAAAGGAATCGTCTAGGAAGATGTCGCAACAGGGCGATGTCTGACAACCTGTCCTTATTGCACACATCGCCCATTCACCTCACACATTGGCCTTGTTGGTCACTTGCGAATATATCACACTGATAAAATCAAATCAGTGGTAGGAGTCCCCGTACTCTCGGCGCATCCGGCTTCAATATTCGCACTGTCTAAAGACAATTGCTCACCACAAGGGCTTTTTCGAACACCTCCACACTTACCCCATCGAGCCTGACCTTTATATTGACCTACCAATCAAATCTTGAAAAACCTACACCTCTTCCTCCTCTCTATCCAACAGAGCAGCCAACACAGGCGCTAGCACCATCGCAGCTGACTATGCAACAATCTTGCGTAGGTTGCCATCACACATGCCTGGGAATGGATAATTGAGAATTTTTCTCGCGAAGTTTGAAGACTACGTTCCAGGATCATCAACACATAAACACACAGCAAATGCATCAACCACCGACGCTGCTCACACACACATGGACTAACAGCAAAGACTTGTTCGGCCAGATGTGTCCCATTCAAGCTTATTGGTAACCAACCTAGGCTAGGCGAAATGTCGCACTCTTCATCGTCAACATATGCAGCAACCATGAACCAATCCGAAGCCATACACAACAGGCAAGCATTGGGTACCTCCCATGTATTTGGGAAATGTGTTCTTTGCTCCATCTGCATGGCCCTCCTCTTCTGCCTGTTTGGTTCAAACGGTCCACTCAGTTCATGTGATATTTGAGGCGTTGGTTTTTTTTGGGGGGGGGCAGCTCGTGTGTGGCCCGTGCAGACCTGTAGGGAATTAACCCTGTCAGACCATCCTTCCAAGTCAAGTAGTTGTTGATTGGCCGGTATGGAAAATCACCGACGACACTTTTTAAGGAGATATAGCCAAGGATATCACCGATTGGCTCATTTTCCATACTAAGACCAAATTGACACTTTTGGACTATCATGACACAGCGCAGAACGAATAGATAGACAAGACTGTGCTTGCAAGGTGTGACCGCCTAAAATTCAATCTGCCATCGGCTCTGCATAATATCATCGGGAAATTCATTTAACAGATCGGCTTCATGTTTCCCCATTCAAACCTGGATTCCAGCTATTTTAATTCATTGTATAGGGTAATTTCGTACGTTAATGAAAATTCGCAAAAGCGTAATGCAAACTTGCTTAAACTTCCGAATTCACTGACTTGCAGCTCCAGAGGCGGCAAAGGGCGTAAGTGTACTGTCTTTGCGACCGGGAGAACTGAACGTCTCCTGGACAATCCCCGAATTGACGCTCGGTAGAGTAGCATATTCAAGGGCTATTGCATTGCTGGAGGGAAGAAACGTTACTTCATGTTCTGCCAACTATACGAACCAGGCCTGTGTCCTCCAAGGTCTTGCTCACGCTACCGTGTATACGGTCGTGGTCGAAGTGTGCGTAACTCCATCTGATGCTGAGTCGTTCCCTGACTCGAGCGCTACCTGGTGTTCTACCACGACCGATGTGCAGAAGATGACCCTCTCGCAATGTGCGTTTCTCGGTCGCTTTAACATTTATATCGTAATATGTTTTGAAGCGAATAGCTTCTGTAAAATGTCTTTGTATTTCTCCAAGCCTGCTAATCAAAACTCTTCTAATTATTATTATTTTTTGAATTATTTTCCATACGCACTTCACTTATGTGGCATGAACCATATCATTCAGCAGTAAGACCAGAACTTATTGAAGTATGCGCCGCAATTCATGTGAGATTATGGTTGACGAAATAGTCAAAATGAACGCATTTTTCCACTTGTTGCCGAACGCCACACTCATGATTTAAAAATCCACTGCATTTATATAATTGTGTTTTACCACGTGAGGCCTATCAGCATGAACAGGAGATTTTGCGTGTTAGCATTCGGGTACACTTCAGAATCTTGCCTAGTTTTTTCGTTTAAAATCCCATCACACGCTATATGGTACTCCATTTCATCATAAGCCCTACGTGTTTGTATTCTGTGACCCTTAGGACATAGTAAACGATATTACTCACTGTCTCCACGCCGATCATCATGCGATTAACGCAATAGCGGGCAATTATCCTCGAAAAAGGGGTCGTTCATTGTCATATGTGTGTAGTAGTGACTGTCTCCTATAAATATTGCAAGTCCCTGTATATGAAATACGCGCAACTGCTAATGTCTCCGATGAAGGATCCGCGACGTATTTCGAAACGTCAGACGAAAAAGGGTCTTGTCCCAGCGAACACATCTTCTTTGATAAACGTTATAGCAATACAGTACACATGTCTGCAGCATTTGAATTTTTCAGGCGGTGAAAAATGAACCCGCTCAAAAGCCTAAACCCTGTATTACCACAGAAAACTCCTCTATAAGAAATATTACAACCCTATTTATATAACCTTTTAAAATGCAAATATATTAAGTAATTTAAGATGGTTATTATATTTTATATTTTGCGAAGAATAAGGTGGGCTTGGGGTGCAACGGTAAACTGTGGATTAAATTGTTTCTTCATTCATTCTTTCATCCTTCCTCGTTCGTCGTATTCTCGTTGCGTGATAAAGTCGTGATGACCGATGATGGGAGTGGTTGTAGTCACAGATGCGGGTACATAAACTCCACAGGTGATTTCATAAGCGACGTGGTGCTTTTGTGGGTTCTAGAAACCGCAGGAGCACTTTAGTTGGTTTTGAAACGCCGCTTGTGGACGGTATGTCTGCCCTTAAAGTATTTATGGTATTCCGTATTCAATTTTCCCTTCGCGTTGCTAGATATTTCATGGTAACTTTGTAGGAAGTATGTTGTACTATTAACAGCTCACAATTCGCTACCGAACGTGGCTGTGTATGCACTTCGCCCCAGGTGCGCTGGAACAATCCGCCTTATGTTTAGTCAAGCAAGGTAATTGCAATCCTGGACGGATACGATGTAGTGACTGGTGAAGGAGGTGGGACGTCATCTTCACCGGATTCCTGTACCCTCGGAAACCTGAAGGACCTTACAAAATATTATGTTAAGGGTGAAGTGTGTGCCAAGGCTTTATACGCCGGGCGTTACATAGGCTCGTGCATGACCTCTCCAGTTAACTATAAAAAGACTCTTCCCGCATGTAATCTCATTAGAATACAGAGTTGGCTAAGTTGTATGTGATGTTTGCAGTGATGGACTTTTTTGCGAAAAAATTGTCAGCATTCTGTACGGTTTGAAGGAATTTAAGTGTCAGAGACTAATGGAGAGCGATAGCCCTGCCAGGCATAAATACGAAGGATTAACGTCTGAAATTCCTTACCTAACCTATTTTCAATATACTGGGCTTTACCAGCCCTCACCAAGGTGATTAAAACCAGTCACCTCTAAAGACAAACCATCCCCTCTAGCTTGTATATCCAATGTAACCACATTTTTCAACTAACACCTTACAGTTGGTCTGCATCTTAGCCCTGGAGGTAGCCCTGGTGACACACTGCCAACCCCCGTTGTGAACCCTCGGTCATGTTTCGTAGTGATCTGATCAAGCAGAACTGGAAATGTCATGCGGGGCTGCAGCCAATCCCCATCCGATCAAGTCTGCCTCCGTTCCGTTCTGGCACACATTCAAATATAGCCAAATGGCGTCGAAAATCCGATAATGAAGAGGTGGCTTGGGATTGCCAAACAATACACTACTAAGGTCATCTTCAGCAACATTCAAGAAAAGATCTGCCATTACTTATGGACCCTCAAAACGGTGAGGTATGCCAACATTGGTCAGTGCAGATAAAAAATGAGGGGTGCGTCTACATGGCTAAAGATTGAATAACGAAAAGAATCGTCTAGAGAGATGTCGCTACAGGGGGGATGTCTAAAAACCTATCCTTATTGCACACATCGCCCATTCACCTCACGCATCTGCCTGATTGGTCACTTGCGAATATATCACATTGATAAGGACAAATCAGTGCTAGCAGTCCCCATACTCTCGGCGCATCCGGCTTCAATATCCGCACTGTCCAAGCACAATTGCTCACCACAAGGGCTTATTCGAACACCTGCCTATCCACCACATCGAGCTTGATCTTCGTATGGAACCACCAATCCGATCTTAAGAAACCTTTAACTTTTCCTCCTCCTCCTTATCCAACAGAGCAGCCAACACAAGCGGCAGCACCATTGCAACTGTCTATGCAGCTATCTTACGCCGAATGCCATCGCACATGCACCTCCCACAGTGGCCTGAAAATTGACAATTGAGAATTGATCACGCGAAGGTTGACGAGCACGTGCCAGGAGCATCAACACACAAACACACAACAAATGCATCAACCACTGATACTGCCACACACACCCTGAGTAATGGCAAAGACTTGTTCGGCCAAATGTGCCCCCATTCAAGCTTATTGGTTACCATCGCAGACTAGGCCAAGTAGCGCACACTTCCTCGTCAACATATGCAGCAACCATGAACAAGTCCAACGCCATACACAGCAGGCAAAAACTGGTTACCTTCCATGTATATGCGAAATGTGTTCTTTGCTGTATTTGCATGGCGCTCCTCTTCTACCTGTTTGTTTCAAACAGTCCATTTAGTTCATGCGATATTTGAGGCATTTTTTTGAGTGGGGGCAGCTCGTGTGTGATCCGTGCAGACCTGTCGGGAATTAACTCTGTCAGGCCATCCTTCCAAGCCAGGAAATAGTTGATTGGCCGGCTCGGAAAATCACCGACCGCACTGTTTAAGGGGAGAGAGCGAAGAATATCACTGATCGGTTCATTTTCCATACTAAGACTAAATTAACACGTTTGGACATCTCGACACAAGACAGAACGAATAGATAGACAAAATTGTGCTTGCAGGGTCTGATCGCCTAAGATTCAATCTGCCTCCGGCTCCCCATACTATCATCAGGGGAATCACATTTGCCAGGTCGGGTTCACCTTTTCCATTCAATGATAGACTCCAGTTATATTAATTCATTGTAGTTTCGTATTTTGATGAAATTTCGCAAAAGCTTAATGCAAACTTATTTAAACTTCCGAATTCTGTGGCTTGCAGCTCCAGAGGTGGCAGAAGGTGTAACCGTGCGTGCTTTGAGAACGAAAGAACTGCAGGTCTCCTGGACCATCCCCAAACTGGCGCTCGGTACACTGGCATCCTCAAGGGCTACTGCATTCTCGAAGGGAAAAAATGTTACCTCCTGTTCTGCGAATGCTCAGCCCTACACCTGTGTCCTCTCTGAACTGGATCATGCCACAGAGTATACGGTCTTCGTTGAAGTGTGCGTCATTCCACCAGATGCGGAGTCGTTCCCTGACTCTGGCGCCACCTGGTGTTCTACCACGACGGGTGTGCAGAAGAAGACCCTCTCGCAATGTGCGTTCCTCGGTCGTTTTAACACTTATATTGTAATATTTTTGAAATAAACATTTACACTGCGAAATAATCAGAAACAGATGTGCCGAAAACAGTCATCTTTAAATTTATAGTTCCAGAGACGGCAAAGGATGTGCAAGTACGAGCTGTAAATACGAAAGAACTGCAGGTCTCCTGGACCAACCCCGACCGGATGCTCGGTAAAATAGCGACTTCACAGGTCATTGCATTCATGAAGGGAGCAAAGGTTAGTTCTTGTTTTGCGAACGCTAGGAACCCCACCTGTGTCCTCCCAAACCTCGCACCCGCAACTGACTATACGGTCGTTGTTGAATTGTGTGTCACTCCACCAGATGCGGAGTCGTCACTTCACTCTGGCGCTGCTTGGTGCTCAAGTACGACCGGTGTGCAGCTGAAGACCCCCGGAGAATGTGCGTTTGTTGGTTATTATAGCATTTACATCTTGCCATGTTTTTTAATAACAATGTGAAATGAACAGACACACGTGATCCGTAGACAGTCGCATTTAAAATTTCTATTTTCAGAGATACAAATATGTGGGTTACTTGCAGGGTAATTTCCAGAACTTAACGGCTCCTAGACCACTCCGAATATGGTATGGTGGTAAAGTGACATCGCTAAGGGCTATTGTGGTCCTAAATAACAGGGAGGTTACTCAGTGTTCACCGAATGTTCGGCCACATGCCCTGGTTTTCTCAATCTTGGTTCACGCCACTGACTAGTCGGTCGTCGTTGAAGTATGCGTCAATCCACCGGATGTGGTGCCAATGGATGGGAATATGCGAGTTCCAGGAAGCAGTTCAGAAGAAGGAGCTGCAACCACTGGAACAAGAGTTTTATTGTCCGGACGTTTCGGACGATAAATACAATGCAACTTGTGCATTTTTCAACCCTATCTTCGCATGACTATGACTATGTTAGCATTACCTATGATTAAGGATTCCCGACGGAATCCAAAACGTCAGGACAATGAAACTCTTGTTCCACTGGTCGCATCTCCTTCTTCCGGGATGTAGTGCCGTTCTCTTATTCTGACGTTGCCTGGTGTTCAAATACGACGGGTGTGTAGAAGACCGCCTTAGCGGTCTGTTTTCCTTTTAGCGTCCTTTCCATTTTTTCCCTCAGTCATATTTTTATAGTTCGCTTTGTTACATGCATATTTAAATTGAACGACTTCAGTAAAATGTATTTTTATTCCCCGAAGTCTGCTAATCAGCATTGCTAATAGTATATGTTCAAATTATTATTTTTTAAATTGTTTTTGTGGCGTGAGCCGTATTCTTCAGCAGTAACCCCAGATCTATTTCATATATGCGACGCAAATCATGTGAGATTATGGTTGAAGAAAAAGCTCAAATAAACGCATTTTTCCATTTGTTGCAGAACGCCTCACTCATTCGAAAATCCACTGTACTTGCACAATTTCGATTTACTACGTGACGCCTATCTGCATGAAAACGAGGTTTTTTTCTGCTGGCGTTTATATACTATTCAACATCTTCGTAGTTTTTAGTTTAGAAGCCCATTATAAGGCTTCATGAGAACCCCATTTCATCATAAGGTCTACGCCTTTGTATTCCGTGACGTTTAGGACAAACTATATGATTTAACATACTATCAGTGTAAAAGCAGACAATTATCCTCAAAAGGGGACTCGCTTATTGTCAAAGGTGTATAGAAGTGAGTGTTTATGACAATTCATTTTCAATTTTCCTTTCGCTTTACTGTATATCTCATGGCAACATTTTGAGAAATGTGCTGTGTTATTAACAGCTCAAAATTCGCCATTAAACGTGACCGTGTATGCACTTCGCCCAAAATCTCTGGAGATGAGCTGGAACAATCCTGATCATCTTGTGTCGTCCGAGGCAGTTGCATTCCTTGGCGGACACGAAGCAGCAACCTGTAAAGGACGTGGGAAGTCATCTTCCCGAGATTCCTGTACCCTCATTAACCTGAAGGACTTCACGGAATATGCTGTGAGGGTAAGAGTGTGTCGGAAGGAGTGGTGGTGGATCAATTCGTGGTGCAGGGACTCTTCAGTCAACTATAAAAAGACTCTTCCCGCAGGTAATATCAGTAAAATGCAGAGTTGGCTATTATTTTTGATCTTTGAAATGATGGTCACTTTTGTGAAAATAGCTTCAGCGTTCTGTACGGTTCGTAAGCAGCTTAGTATGAAAGACGAGAGCTAAGCGATAAGCATATTAGGCTTCAATACGAAGGACTTACATCGGCAATGCTTTACCTTACAAACACATACTAACTGTCAAGTTACTGGGCCTTACCAACCCTCCCCACGTTCATTGAATCCAGTCACCTCCGAATATAAACCAGTCAAAATGGCCGCATTTTTCAACTAGCACTTTACAGTCAGTCTCCATCGTAGACCTGGAGGTAGCCCTGGCAACCCAGAACCGACAAAGCAACAATGCATACCCGTCAGCCCTACCGACGCACTGCCAACCTTCCTCTTTGAGAACACTGAGTCACGTGTAGTGTTCGCTCACCCTGTGGGCTTTTTCGGCTACCTGCGTATCCACGACATCGAGCCTAATCCTACTGTCGACTCAACAGTGAAGCCTTGCAAAACTGTTAACTATTTCATCTCCCACACCACTAAATCGCTATTATCTGGAGCGGCCAAAAT